TCTGCTCCATCATGAAGTTATCCTGACATCAGCTCTGTCTTCATGCTCTGCTCGCTCTAATTAGGGACAGGTTTAATTAAAATCTGCCCACACAGTTCCAAGGGCTTTGTGTTCCTCATTTATGTTTACCCAGCCGAGCACTTTACCTTTTTTAGGAGCACAAAATCGTTCTCTGCCGCTGTCCGTCTGTTTATTTCCTCCTCGTACCTGTTGATTACAATGAGGAAGATGGAATCTCTTTGCTTACTTTGGCTCTTGCAGCCACTGCTGGCAGCTAAGACACCATTGGCCTCAGACTAATGAATGTGGCAAAAATAGACCTGCTCTTAGCAAGATTTATGGACAAGCCTCAGCACTTTACCTTTCCACTGGCTCCTGCTATCTCAAATACCTTTTGGAAGACAATTTGCAAGCCTTGAGATCCTTCAACATAGTCCTGGTGGCTCTGGCCACTCCAGCTGCTTTCACTGGCCCAAGGGACCTTCAGGCCCCAGCACAGCCCATCCTAAATATCTCAGGCTATTCAAATTTGGCATTTTTTTGCTGCAAAGTGTGAAGTGGTAAAGATGATCCCCAAAACAAAGTCAATTCTCCCATCTGCAGGCTCAGTAAAGCAAAGAACCGCTGGTCCTGAAGAACCCTGGATCTGCTTTCCTGCAATTTCTGCCTATCAAATTACTTTCCGTATCTTTTTCAGTGGAAAGATTTCTCTAGGCTCCCTTCTTGCTTTTCTGGCTGAACAAATTATTCCAGTAGCACAAGGAAAAGCATTGCTTTTCTTTCATTTCTGCTTTCAAAAGAAAGCTCTAATCTTGAAATGATCCAGGAGGAAGTTATACTAGGATTTAACAACTGATCTGAGTTAATTAGTTCATTAAATCGTAACAGATTAAGTGGGTAAGGCAAAGAGTAGATTAAGTGGGTAAGGCAAAGAGTAGATAATCCTGCTTTAGTGACAAGCATAACTCAGACAACAAATAATAGAGACTCAGAAAAATCTCAAAAGAATCATTGTCAACCGTCAAAATTGACAACTGATGAAAACTTCACCAAAACTTGTCTTTTATATTGTCTAATCCTCAATGCAAGAGGAACATTGAGAATTCTTCTGAGTCTTTGAATTCTGTGACTGTTCAAAGCAATTTTAGTTTCTATTTTTCACCCTTTTCTATGTGAGGACGGAAGGCCACCCATAAAAGTTTCAAGTTTTGTCCAGCTCCATGTACAGCTTGATACAACTGGGAAAACAACATATAAAAATATATGCAGCAGGGGAAATATAATCAGACTTCCTAAGAAATCAGACAGAGCTGAGACAGTGCTATAAATTAACTCAGGGCAGAATTTAAGCCTAAATTGGGAGAGAATTCCCATGAGGCTGTCAGTACATTCGACCACATGGAAAACAACCTACTTGCTCTTGAAATCCTCCACCAGATCCTGGAAGTTCTTCAGCTCTGCTTCCAGCTGGTGCTTCTCGCTGGAGAGCCCGTCCAGCTGCTTCCGCAGCCGGTTGATGTAGGCTTCAAAAACCTGCTCGAGGGTCCTGCTGTTGGGGCCTGTGCCGTGGCCTTGCTCCTGCAGGAGCTTCCACTTGGTCTCCAGGACTTTGTTCTGCTGCTCTAGGAATCGGACCTGGATGAAGACAGGAAAAGAGTCGGACGTCTCCAGGAGCATCTGCCTGTTGCCATTTTTCTCCATGCTGCTCAGATGGACCCAAGCAACAGGGTCCCTCTGGAGATGTCCTGCGTGTTGATGCCCAGTCCCATGGTTTAGCACAAGCATCATGGTCTTAAGAGCCAGGGATCCTATTCCTGATTCTCTCTATAGCCTTGGAAAAGTCACTTCTCCAGCTACCACCTGCCTCCTCCCTGCATTCTTGGGGCTGTCTGTGCAACACCAGACCTTGACCTTGAAAGTCATCACAGCAATTGCAGTTAAACACGATAAGCTCAAAATCTCCCCAAATTGCAGAAAAAGCCACCCCCTTTCTCACCTTGTCAATGAAGGAGGCAAATTTGTTGTTGAGGGTCTTCATCTCCTCCCGCTCCTGCGTTCGCACCTTCTGGATCTCGGGGTCGATCTCCAGGTTCAGGGGGACCAGCAGGCTCGGATTAATGCTCACTTCCTTGATGCCACCCGGGGGGCACACAGGAAAACCTCTCCCATCGAACCCAACACCAGAACCAAAGCCACCACCGAGGCCTCCACCAAAGCCACCTCCTGCTCCACCACCAAATCTTCCCCCAGCACCATAAGCGAAGCCAAAGCCTCCTTGGCCACCAGCCCCAAAGCCTCTAGCAACCCCACCAAACCCACCCAGGGAGGTGCATTTGCTCCCTCCCAAGCTATAGAGGCTCCTGCTCCCGAAGCCACCGGCGTTCCCGGGTCCCCTGCCTCCTCCACGGGCCACGGAGCTGAAGGTGACTTTGCTGCCCCCTCCAAAGCAAGCAGAGCTAGAGCTGAAGCCCTTTCCGAGTGCGCACGACTGGCGAGACATGATGGATCTCCAATGGGAAAGCCACGGAGAGCTTAGCCGCTTCGAGTCCAGAGGCAGGAGAGGGTAAGTCCTGTAAGAGCAATGCCCAAATTCTCCTTTTTATGCGCTCAGGGAGTTGGCTGGGTGATAGGGGAGTGGAGAAAAAATGTCATTTTTTATTCTATTCATTGTTTTAGGTGTGCTTGGCACCGTGCCCTCCCCTCTTTCCTCCACCACCGCGATGACCTGCCTCCAAACACTCCCTGGAGAGCTAAATAAACAGAGTTATTGTTGGTATTGGAAACTCATCTTCAAATCAGGTTTCCTTTACTAAAAACTGTCAACTCATCAGATGCTTTTCAAGGCTCTTTGGGCCATGACAAAGCAATGCAAACTCCCTGACACATTTCACCCCCAAGGGAGACCCTTCTTTTAGGCACATCACTCATTTTGGGCTTTGTGGCAGGTGCTCGTTTCGCTGAATTCCAAAAATATATATATATAAAAAAAGTGGCTTCCCAGTCACACCCTCGGATGCACCCGAGTTCAACCTTCTGCTCGGAGAAGGTTTGATTTGGTTTGGCCAAAAGTGTTTCACAACCAAGGGAGGGAGCTGAAAGAGCATGGGTGATGGGACAGGCTATAAAATTATGTCTATCTTGGAGAAAATGCTAAAATGGAAATATTGGGGACATTAAAAGAAGACACAAGGGAAGGAGACACTCGTGGAGACAGATTCCTTCTTCCTCACAGCTCTCATCCATGAAGCAGGATCTGCTTCCAGCAGGACCTTTATTTAATCCATGGAGGAAAGTGCTGTGGTCACGGGAGCAGAAAGGGAGCTGATTTCTACCTGAGAATATTTCTCATGTCGATTTCTACATGAGACGTGGTTGAAATACCCATGTCGAATTGGGGTGAAATAGAGGGTTTTCATACCCAGCGCTGGATTTTCAGGTTTCTCCATTTTAGTTCCGCACTTTCCTTCCTCCTGCCACCCTGGCTCCCGCACTTACCCCTTGGCAAACTCATTGCTTAAAGAAAAAAAAAGAGCTTAATTGCTTAACTGCTTTTAATTTATATTTTAATTAGCAGAGGTGTCTGGAGGTGCCTCCAAAGCCAGGATCCCCATTTATCCTGCCATTAAAGACAACAACAAAAATACGATGACTTCCCCCCAAACCACAAGCTGCAGCCATGGCAATAAATCGGCCCAGTGCCGCACTCCATAATTATCCCTTTTATTGGAGACACTTTTATTGTCCCTTTTATTGCAGGTGCTTGTGGGAGAGGTTTGGGGGAGTTTCAGCTCTGAGTTTACCCGCTGCCGACTTTTTTGTTCACATGCAAATCCAGGTCCTGATAGAGGCTTCAATCCCTCTTGCCGAGGAATCCCAGGAATCTGGAAAGGGAGGGCTTTTCCTCCTGCAGCTTCTGCAAGCTTCCCAGCCAAAGGTGAAGGGAAAAGCCAAATTCCTGTTGCTCTCCGTCAAAAAAATAAAACTTTTATGAGTCTCATCCAGGCAAACTCTCCTGTTTCCACTGAGAAATCCTTTCCCATCGCAGTTTTCCATCTCCCAGGGTCCAAAGAGACCTCGGAGGAGGCAGCGGCCGCCTTTTCCCAGGGTTATGCAACCAGATCTGCTAAGAAACCAAAAGAACCTGTTTGAGCCCAGTTGGCCAACGCCGGGACAGGGAGAGCAAGCAGCTGCCGGGAGTTCCCAGGGTGGCTCCGCTCCTAATTCCGAGCACAACCGCACTTATTCACCGCTCTGGGTGACGGTTGCCAACCCGATCCTGGCACTCGGCAAGAACCCGGTGCCCTGCTGTGCCCAGGACTCATCCTGCCCCTTCGCGGGGTCCCGGGATGGGAGGTGGGATGGGAAAACGTGGGATAAAAGCAAGGCAGCGGTTTCCAAAGGCAGGAGCCACCGGGAGGCTCCTAAAAGCCAAGACTCCGGGTGCTCTCCGAGCTCTCTCCGGGCCAAAGGGAAAAGAGGCTCTTCCCATGCAGAGATATAAATAACCCACTCGAAGCAACTTCTTTGCATCCCAAATGCAGCCCAGAGGTGGAAGCCGCTCTGCTCTCACGCAAAGCTGCGTTTGCCCAATTTTAATGTCCTCAGCCCCTACGTAGGCATCTCCGTTAGGAGAAGAACACCCACCCCCCAGCATTCCAGGCATTGGGATATGCATGGAAGCACCATAAACTTAGATAAATTAGGACTAAAGTTGAATTGGAAAGACTTCCAGCTATGTTAACACAGAGAAACACACAGCCAAAACAACCTAAACGTTGGGATTTTCCAGGAGTGAGTGGCAGCTCCTAGTAGGACCCTCCAGCCTGGGGATGCTGGAAGCAGCAAGGTTTTTACTGGACACACACAGCAAAGCTGAAGAGCCCAAAATTTAGCGCTTTTCCTCCCAAAAGGCACAGCAGAAGCCCAAACTCGCATTAACTCCGCGGGCAAATTGCAGGGCTGGGAGGCGAGCTGGGAACCGGAGAGCAGGAATAACAAGGTGGATCCCAAGGGAGATCAAAGGCGCCTGGTGCAGGAGGCGGCCGGCACACCTAGTCCCGGCAGAGCTGCAATCTCGGCACGGAGCAAAGAGCCCAGGGCTTCTCTCAATGCAATAAATGATTTTGCTAACCCATAGCTTACAGGCAACACCTTCTCCTGGGAATCGGTGGCCCTCCGTGAGCAATAAGAATAATGATAGCGATTCCAATGATTACGGTGCCATTAATACGTTGCTCGCCGCTGTCCCCTGCCCATTAATGGGAATTACGCTCTTGCCGTCGGGCACGGAGGATAAGCCGACGCCGCACAGGGATATCACGGAATGTGTAAGGAGGGCACTGGGTGATGGGCAGGAAGGACCTTTCCTACCCCAGGAAAATGCCATTTCCCAGGAAGCGCCGCCTCTCGTGGTCCCTCTTGCTGGAGCAGAAATGGGAATGAGGCCCTGTTCCCCCCAAACTAATTATTGTTATATACATATATACACATATTTAAATGCTTTTATATGTATATATACACATATATATAAGTTTTGGATGAGTCCCCAGTGATCGCGCTAAGTGATCCGGGACAAATCACCGCTTCTGCACAAGGAAAGGGAACATCTGCTGCAGGATGCGGCCGGGCTGGTGGCTCCTTGCAGGAATGTGATGGAATCCACAGCCTCATTGAGGCCTGGATCCAACCCTGTGTGAACGGGACTGGTCAGAAATCGCATCCTTGGGGGAAAACTAAGCAACCAGGAGGAGAAAAGGAGGGAGGAGAAAATAAAGAGGGGGTAATTGTAAAGCCGAAGGGGATACGCTAAATCCAAGTCCAGCTGCTTCCTGCAACTCCAAAAATACCGAGTGAAAAGTGAGGCGCATCACCAGAAAACATGCCTGGCACTGAGGAAAGAGGGTTTTTTTATACCAGTTTTTGGCTCAGGAGCTGAAAAAGACAAAAGTTTGGGGGTTCCTTGGGTGGAGGTTCAGGGCTTCGGTGTCCTCCTTGCATCGTCTGAGCTGTTGTTGTCCTCCAAACTGGAGCACAAGGGTTAGAACTTCCCAGTGGAGGCTTTTGCATGAAGCAACCAGAGGGGGAAAATTGGAGAAAAACAGGACGAAGCGGAAAGCGCATTCCCCCCTTTAGCAAAATCCAACCCCGCTCCGTTCCCTGCGGATGCTCCCAGGAAGGGGGAGGCCCAAAATGCCCCCAGTGTCCCCATATGGCCAGGGAGCTGCAGTGGGGAGCCCCGGGGGGGACAGCAAGGGGAGTGCGTGCGAAAATCGGGAGCG